GGAGATAAGAGAATCAAAATAGACAGAAAAACTCAAAGAAGATTCTCACCAACATAAAAACCAGTGATTATATTGCAAGAATTAAACTCGACAATAAAATAGATTTTGACCAAAATATCAGTCCATCAAAAGTGGGAGGGATAGAAAAATATTTCCAATATTTGAATAGACTTCGTCAGGATTTCCTCTTATAATTACACTCCTATAAAATTTTCAACATTCAAACTTTGAACTTCAGGCCAAAGTACATGCATAAGATGTTCATTTGTGTATACACTGTCAACTATCCAATTAGAAAAATGCTAAGTACTTTAAAATACCACAGGAAACCTACAAAAATATCAACAATAGAAATAACAATTTCCCAGTAAAAGCCTATCAAGTTTACCAGATAATCATGCAAAACAAAATTTTTATGCAAATCCTAATTCTATTCGAAGAATCTATTTCAATACGAATCAGAAAAATTCTGACTTCAACACTGCCCTAGAAGAAAAAGATTTTCTCCAAGAACCAAATGACGCTGATCAAACTTACATGATTGAGTAAAAATACAACCTCAAGTTCAAGATTTTAAGAAAAAAATCCCACGAACAAGCAAATCTAAATGAACTTTCGTAAATTCCCATGGACTCATAGTTCAATTACAAGAATCCAATTCATCAGGGCAGAGGAAAAGAAAATCAAAATATAAAAGAAAATTAAAATGATTTTTTTCCAGGAGTTTGCAAAATCCCATCAAAATCATTAAATCCAAAATCAAGTTTCCACAAACATGCTTAATAAAACGCTGCCTTCTTGGGTCGGTTTGTAAATTCCCAATACTCGTAGTTCAATTACAAGAATCCAATTCATCTAAAACAAAAAAAAACAAAAAAATTGTACTGCAAACCCACAAAGCAAAATAATTTTTTTTCCAAATTAACATAATCCCATCAAAATAATCAACTTCCAAAATCAAGATTTTTAATAAAATTTGTAAATTACACAAAAATGCATAAGAAAAGGCCGTGTGTCTGTGCATGTGTACGAAGAAGTAGAAGGACCTCAGCACAGGTAATAAAAGGGTGACGAATTTTTAGAAGCCAGTTCTTGCGAAGCATAGCCTTCAACTGTCTTCTTGAAGACCTCATATTCTCCTCCTCCTCTTTGTGCGTCTCCATGTAGGGCTCCAATTAGAGCACACACTCACTCCACCGCTCAAACCAGAGAAAGAGGAAAGTATTCAATAACCCACAATATACACAAACTCAAAAGTTTTAAAGATGGCAGGGGAGAAGAATCAGCGTACTATTTTGGTTGGGTCAAGACACTTTAGTGTTTGTTTAACGTATTTCTTCAGATTTTACTTTTCAGAATAAATTTTTAATCCATATTTAATGGGAATTAAAATTAAATTTTTAATAAATTTTGATAAAAATTTGACGAAATATATAATTAAAATTAATTATTAATTTTGACTTAAATTAAAATTTAATTCCTTCCGGATGGATACTTATTGTAAATTTTAACAAATACCATGACCCTAATTCAAAATAGTTTAAGCACAAATAAGAATGGCAAATTGCCATGCTCGTCGCTCCTCTTGCGTTCGACTTTGCCTGCCAATGAGATAAGACTTTCTAGTTAGTCAGAAATCAAGACGAGAATAGTAAACATAATTTATAAACTGAACTTGTTCCAACTCTTAATTTTTAAATTGTTTATATTTACAATATAAATAAATTAGCAAATGTTGAATTGAAACGAAATTTAAAGATATTTAGCAGAGTGGGCCACGTCGGCTCTCGTCCTTGCCCATAAAAGTATTGGAGAAATTTAGTAAAAAGAAATAAAGATATTTTATTACATATTTATTTGAAAGTTTTAATAATACCTAATGCTTTTATTGGTAAAAAATTTGTTACATGGTGGAGAAAAATAATTTTTTTAATTTATGTTTTATATCATGAATAACATTATACGAATAACATATATGTGAAAATTAGTTTATTCTATAAATAAATGTATTTTAAATTACTTTGATAAACTAAATTATCTTGACGTCCCTATTTATTATTTAAGTATAATTAATTTGTCATAATTGCTCGATAATTAATTGCAAAATAAATCTCTATCACCTTGACTGACAAGGTGTGCGCACCAAATTTTACTAATTGCTGGAGTTCGAAGTTTTTATAGAGAACGGTAGGACCCACAATTGATAAATCAACTTGATGAAGATTTTTTCTTCTTTAAATAAACGGATAATTGCAGTAAAGACCCCAAATCTTTAAAATATTAGCAGATTTTTTCAAAATATTTGATTTGTTGCAACCGTCACCCCAGACCTTTCGAAACGTTATCATGGAAGCTCTTTTGGATAGAAAACATCCAATTTACCATTAGTTGACCAAAAACTTGAGTTTAACCACATTTTTTATATTCTTATAAAGGGCAAAATAGTAACTTTCAATTTACTAAATTAAATAATTACATAATTAATTTATTGAATTAAGGAAAGGGAATAAAAAAAGAAAAAAGGGGAAAAAACCTGTATGATCTTCCCCGACCTACCCAATCCACCCCTAACCTATCCTTTACAAACACCCATTTTCGCCACTTCCTTAGCCACCATCGCAACAACCAAGGTCCTTGTGCGAAGAAGTTTCCAACGAAGCTCCAGTCGAGGGCCTTTCGTCCACATATATCTTCCTCCTTGGGCACCCTTCTTTTCCCACTGCCTCCTACAAAGGTGACCCTCGCCCTAGCTCTTTCTACTCCATCTATCATGATAGCCTATATCCTCGATTCCATCACTTTTAAGCCCGATTCGTTTTTCACAGTCTGGTTTGTCCTACTTTTTGCTCAAATCACTTTCTTCTTCAGCTCCTTCCTCTCCATCACATTCAATTCCATCTCCCTCGCTCTCCTTTGTCGCTTTAACTTGAGTGTTGGCCAAGTTGGGATGAAGGTCAATGTGGAGGTGGAGGTGGAGGTGGAGGTGGAGGTGGCGGTGGCGGTTGTCGGGTGGGCTTTGGGTTTGAGGTGGAGATGGAGATGGGTGACGGGAGACGAAGAATATGACAGTGTGTTTGTTTTTTATTTTTTATTTTTTATTTTTTATTTTTAAATTTATTTATTTAATTAATGCTATAAATAGAAAGTGGCTCTTTTATCCCTTTTTAAATATTAAAAATGTGGTAAAAGTTAAATTTTTTATCAACTAATGTTATAAAAATTTTGGTCTGCTAATGTTTTTTAATTAATGTTATAAATAGAAAGTGTCAGTGGCAATAAATCAAATGTTTGAAGAAAGTCTGCTAATGTTTTAAAAGTTTGTGACATCTGCTACAATTATCCCTTAAATAAAATGATTGTTAAATGGAAAAGGAAAATATGTTCACAAAATTCAAAAATAAGACATTTTCGAACATATATAATTTTTTGATTTTATAAATTGAATCTCGTCTCACCGATATTCATTTTGTAACCAAACTATGAATTTTCTTTATCGAGCTTTCAAAATTGTATGGTTGTTATTATAAGAGGAAATTTATCCTTTCACTTCTTTTTTATATAATGAAAATACGAACAACATTTCATGATTATCTTATTTAATTCAGTCTCTGTGATTCATGCCTGTTTAAACTTGATGAATTGATTTTCATTCATGCTTTTAATACCAATTAAACTTGATATATTGTTTGATCATTAGAGTTTTAGAACGTTTTGATGTATGTATTCATGTTGTGTTATAGGTTAGGTGACGTTGTGGCAAATATGAGTTTTGGAGCTAAAAAAAGGAATTAAGGGTCCATTTGATTGCAAAAATGGAATTTGGGTAGAAAAAAATCGAATTTTTGGAATTGAATTGCTTAGAAATTGTTTTATTGGAATTCTCAATTATTGTTTGATTGGTATAATTTTTCACTTGAAAAATGTTGAAATAAAAGTGTTTTTAGTGTTCGTTTGATTTTGTTTTACATGAAAATTATCAATTAAATGGAATTTATTTTTTTATAATTAGAGATAGAATTTGTTTCCATTGCCTAAAAAAATGAAAAAATGAAAAAAAATAAAAATCGACAATCTACCTAGAAAACCAAGAAAATAAATTCCATGAAAAAAATATGTTATCAAATAGTCAAAAAGTGAGTTGAAATTTGAATTTCATTTTTCATGAAAAATAATAGTCAATCAAACATGGCCTAAGAAAAACGAGAGAATGGAGTTTTAAAGTATGCAAAGGTTGCACAGAAATAAGCCAAACAAACATCAAAACAAAGTAAACTAAACTACAAAGGGAGAGCCCATGTGCTATCTCGATGGCACCTAAGCACCACACATTGCAAGCCAAATAAATAAATAAAAATCAGCAACAGAGCTCCCAAGCGCCGCCAATGGAGCTCCCGAGTGCCCGTAAACAAAAAATAATCTAGTAAGCTGGCATCCAGGTGCCAGCATAGACGCACATTGTGATGCCTAGGTGCTGCTCTTGGGTGCCTAGGCGTTGTGTCATCAGTAGGTTTTTCAAGTTTTTTTTACTATTAAGAGGCCAATTACAATCCAACTCCATCGGGACTTCAAAGAACAAATACAAGTTGAAATCCCACTTTTCAAACACAATTCAACAGGACAAGGAGCGAGTCAAGATCAACAAAGCGAAGAAGGTTGATTCTCTACAACACTAGTTTTTTTCAAGTTTTTTTTACTATTAAGAGGCCAGTTACAATCCAACTCCATCGGGAATTCAAAGAACCTATAAATACAAGTTGAAATGCCACTTTTCAAACACAATTCAACAGGACAAGGAGCAAGTCAAGATCAACAAAGCGAAGAAGGTTGATTCTCTACAACACTAGTTTTTCTCATTTCTTCTCTATTTTGTTTATTATAAATTTGATAGTTTCCATGCTTCCAATTTTAGATTATGTTTTAATTTTATGCTGTTATTTCCTTGACATTTTCCATTTTCTTTATTCCGTGCTATTGATTTTAATGCTTTCAATTACTTGGCAATTAATTGAATAAATTTATTGTTTAAGTTTCGACACTCGAAAGAGGGAAACTTAGGCGTAATCTTATAATAAAACAACCTAAATTTCATAGGTTTTGAGAGAAAGTATAAAAAAAATTTGAAGTATGTTTCACTTAAGAACCATAAAATTGATAATATCTAGATATTTAATTCGGAATAGAGATGTTAAAATTGAATTATAGGAATAGTTTTTTACTTGGCACTCGAGAGAGAGAGAGGGTAGGATTACATTAGGGTTTCTACTTATAAACTTGAAAAAATTAATTAGAAATAATTAGATATTTGACAAACATGTTTAATAGTTAGGTGAAATCAAAATTCTAGACTTTCTCATATTGAAAAATCTTTCAAACTTACATTCATTTGCTAAATTCATCATCACGTTTCATCATTAGATTTTGTTATAACCATTGACTGCAAATTTCTATTGTCTAGATAAAATAAAGGGTACACAATTATGGTACTTAGTAAGAAATTGAATTTCAAAACCCGTGAGTTCAACGTCCGTATTTGGTCGTTATATTATAAAACTTGACATCATACGGTTGCAGTATATTTACGTTATAAAAAACGTGTAACAAAACTTTAATTAGATCAAATTACGTGTTTGAACTCTTTTAATATTTCAATCTTAAAATGTTAACCTTCCAACAATTTATTGAATGAATGTCGCCTCAAATGGTGTTTTGGACATTAATTGCCATTTTGGACATTAATAATTTCAAATGGTGTTAACAGTCAACAATTGCTGTTTACCGCTATGTAAGGTGCCAAGCGACTTGGCTTGGCGTTTTCGTGGCGCACTGTGCCGAGACGGCTCCTTGACGTCCCTTTTAGAACACAAGTTGGAAGTGCCCCATTGGACATTAACTATTGTGAGAGGGAAAAAGGTTAGCCATTTAGAGTGGATCACTCATAGTTTATGCCACTCCTTGGAAGAATATTCCCCTACTTAAAATTGGAATTTCAGTTTTTTATTTTTGTATTCTTTATATAAAAAAAAGTTGCATTAAAGTATTTCATTTGATTATGCTTAATTTTTATTTAATTTTTTGCAAATATTATATTAATATGTATTATTTTCTTTACATTTTTAAATTGTCCATTGAATTAATGCATGGAATGAAAGTCAATAATAAGATAACGATAGAGTAACAAAGTAAAATTAATCCATGATAAAAATTTAATGTCAAATACTTGATTTATTTTTGCAGTACAGTTAGATACTCAATAATTATAATAAATATGTTAATTACGATTTCTACGTCACTTTTTCAGTCATGCTTTAC